CGCGGGGGGACCGGGACCGGGGTGGGTGGGGGTCGCCCCGGCTCCGCTGACGCGGCCTCGCTTGTCCCCGCAGGGCTGCAGATGAAGAGCCCCGAGAAGAAGCGGCGCAAGTCCAACACGCAGGTAGGGCCGGGCTCGGGGCGGCGCGGGGGCCGGGGACGCGCCGCAGCAACCCTGACCGCCGCCTTCTCCCCGCAGGGCCCTGCCTATTCGCACCTCTCGGAGTTCGCCCCGCCGCCCACGCCCATGGTGGACCACCTGGTGGCTTCCAACCCCTTCGAGGATGATTTCGGGGCCCCCAAGGTGGGGGCGGCGCCTGCCCCCTTCCTGGGCAGCCCCGTCCCGTTCGGCGGTTTCCGCATGCAGGGGGGGATGTCGCCGCAGGTGCCCCCCGGTTACGGCGGGGGTCCTCAGCCCCTGCGGCGGCAGCCGCCCCCGTTCGCCCCCGGGCAGATGGGCCCGGCCTTTAGCATGCCCCCCCAGAATCCAAACTACGTGCAGCCGGGGGGCTTGACCTTCGCCGGGCAGCCCTTCAGCCAGCCCCTCGGACAGAACTTCAGCCCCCCTATGGGGCAGCTCATGCAGGGGCCTGTTGCGGGCTTCGGGCCCATGATGTCCCCCACTATGGGGCAGCCCCCCCGGGGGGACATGGGACCCGGGCCAGCCCTCAACCCCCCCGGGGGCCCAGCAGTGGCTCAGCGCTTCAGCCAGCCCAGCAACCTCTTTGGACAATCGCCCATGCAGCGCCCCGGGCAGAACATGCCCCCGCTGCCCCCCACAGCCAGTCCCTTCCCTGGGGCGGACCCCAGCTTCCCTGCTAGCAGCGAGGAGGGGGGCAAGAACCCTCCCCCCAGCACCTTCGCCCAGGAGCAGCACTCGGGCTCCCCCGCCACCGTCAACGGGGCACAGCCTGGCTTCGCCCCCAACAGCGCCGGCCGCGGCGCCAGCACGCCCGAGACCAACAGCCTCCCCCTGCCGCCCCCCGGCAAGGCCGGCGGCGCCTCGGGCCACCAGCCGCCACCCGGGCTCGTGTACCCCTGCGGGGCCTGTCGCAACGAGGTGAACGACGACCAGGACGCCATCCTGTGCGAGGCCTCCTGCCAGAAGTGGTTCCACCGGGAGTGCACGGGGATGACCGAGAACGCCTACGGGCTGCTCACCACTGAGGCCTCTGCCGTCTGGGCCTGCGACTTCTGCCTCAAGACCAAGGAGATCCAGTCGGTCTACATCCGGGAGGGCATGGGACAGCTGGTGACCGCCAACGACGGCTGAGCCACCGTTCAGCCGCCGTGTACAGCTTTCCCCACTGATTTAGGACCAAACACCCATTTTTTGTAGCTGTTGTCCCCCCCGCCAGCCAGAGAGCCACTGCCGTGTGCTGGCTGTGGCTGCTCACCGGACACTGCCTGGCACCGGGACCTACCAGGGGACCGGGCACGGTGCTGGCCATGCCGGTGTCAGCCTTTTGCTGTGGGCAAGGCTCTGGCCCCGGTGCACCGGCTTGGTGAGGGCTGGGGTTTCCTGGTGCTCCACAGTGCTGACCCCAGTTAGGTCATTACCCTTGCAGGGGGCGCCTCCTGGGCTGTGCAGCGCTCCTGGTGTCCCCTTCCACATTCATGGGGCAGTGCCGGTGCCCCCTGCTCCGGTGCTCGGGATGGTCCCGGTACCCGCTCCCCACCCCAGCTCCGTCCGTTTTAGCCAATCGTTAATGGAAATTTTTGTACCGTCGTTATAAAACTCTTAAACGCGCGTGTCGGTGTCTGTCCGGGGGTGTCGGTGTCTGTCTGGTACCGGATTGGGGGTGGGGGAGGGGGCGTTCGGTACCGGCGGGGCCGCGCCCGCTGTCCCCGCCCCCTCCTCGCGACGCTGCGCCGCGGACTGCGATTGGCTGCTGGCGTCACGTGCGCGCCCCGGCTCGGGGGCGGCGGCGGCCCCGGGGAAAGTTCCCGGCGGGACGCGGCGGGCGCAGGTACCGTCCCCGGCGGGAGCGCTGCCCTGCGGGCCGGACCGGCGCCGGGACGGGGCTGAGGGCGCGGGCGCAGCTCGGAGAGGCCGTGGGAAGCGGAGAGGAGGGGGCTGTCAGCGGCGGGGCTGTCACTCCCAGGCCGGTTCTGGGTCCCGGACGGGGGTGGGGGGGAAGAGAGGGGCGGGGGCTGCTCGAAACCCCCGCCCGGTGCTGCCGCTTTGTTGTGGGGCGGTGGGATCCCGACCGGGGCCCCTGGTTTCCCCACGCCAGGCCCTGCGTCTCCCGTCCACCTGCTGGGTCGCATCATGGGCTAAAAATACCCCGCGGCGGCAGCTGTGTCAGGGGGGTGCAGCCGCAGAGCCGGAGCACCGGGACGGCTCCCTGAAAGCCTCCCAGCTACGGGCTGGAGGGACTGGCTGGCACCGGGAATGTGGCTCTCCCGGTCACGTGCAGCCGGTCCTGGGAGCTGGGTCGTGTCCCGCTGTCCGTGTGTCCGCCCGTCTGTCCCCTTGCAGGTAGCGCTGGACTGTCCCTATGGCGGAGAAATTGGATCCCCGAGATGAAGAGAGCAGCTGGGTGCTGGCGGGCAGCGAGGTGAGGGCTCACAACCCCCAGAGCAGACCCTCACTGCTTGAGATCTCCAGGGCAACATGCCAGAACTGGGACCCCATGCCTTGGGGCCTTTAGGACAGCCCCCCAGAGCTGGAGACCACCGGGCACACCCCCCAGTGCCCACCTGGGGCTGCAGGCACATGGAGGTCGGGGCTAAAGGTGTCTCTCCCTGTGTACCCCCTTCCCCTAGGGTCTGCCCATTGACACGGTGGGTCCAGAGCAGGACTCAGCCTCCCACGGATCTGACGATGAGGAGCCAGAGGAGGAGGATGAAGGCACCCAGGACGCAGTCACAGGCAGGCAGCCACCAGGGGTATGGGGCAAGCCTGGTGTCACCTTCCTGTGCCACTGTCTCATCCCCATGCTCTGCCTCTCTCCAGCAGTGACTGCCAATGGTGCCACTACCTTCCCCAGCCAGACCTTGTGCCCTGAGGGCAGTGGGCAGGGGGTGAGTCAGACCAGGGGGCTGGGGGTGAGCTGGAACTGGTGGGCTGCTCCCCACACAGGGATACCCCATGTGCCAGTGCCTGTGTCTGCAGGACCCAGAGAAATGTGAGGACTCCAAGGCAGAGTCTGCCCTGAATGGCTCTGCAGAGCCCAGCATGTTGGAGGGCGATGAGCAGGAGGAGCTGAATGCTGAGGCTGAGTCACAACCCTGCCCTGACACCCCCCAAGCAGGTCAGGCCTCACAGGGGACTGGCCTGGGGGAATCTGTGCTGGCAGTGTTTAGGCGTAGACCCTCCCTGGAGGTCCCCCCCGTCTCCCCCTAGGGCCAACACCGGAGGACGTGTGCACCAGCAGTGACGATAACACGGAGGGGCTGCGATGGCGGCCAGGCCGCAAGCCCCATCCTGAGCCCCCCACTGTCACGCCTGCCCCACACCGGGGGACAGCAGACACTGGTGATGATGGGCTCAGTATGAGCACGTACCTGCTGGGTGCCTTGGCGTTGGTTGTTGTGGGGCTGCTGATCATCACTGGTAAGTGAGGTCCCAGTGGCCAAGGCCCCAGGGACAGGGTGGGGTCCAGACATCCCCCTCATTGTCCCCTCCTCTCCCCAGGCGGTATCTACGACGTGGCAGATGGTGAGTAGAGGTGACTAGCCCATCTGGGCAGGGGGCCATTTTGCGCCAGCCTGGACATTCAGACCCATGTCCTTCTCTGCAGGGCCTGTGGAAAGTGTGGGGAGCTGGGACTTGGCTGCTGGGGAGCAGGAGTCACTGCTGTCCATAGACAGCAATGTAAGGAGGGGTCTCAAGCAGGGTGAAGTGAGGGCAGAGGGTGTCCTCAACGCCCCCAGGGCTCCCACCCTTCCTGTCCTCCAGGACTCCCAGCAGAAGCCCCCTCTGCCAGATGATGGGGGCTCGCAGAGCATGGAGTCCATGAGCCAGCTCCTGGACAAGCTGGCCAAAGAGAACCAGGAGATCCGGCTCATGCAGGCAGAGCTACAGGTTGGTGCCCAGTACCACGTCTCTGTGCTGTGTCCTGGTGCTGCTCTCCCGCTGCCACCTCTTTCACAGCCCCCCACCCCTGCCCCAGGCCCACAAGGAAGATCTGCAGGCACTGCTGCACAAGAGCGAGGGCGCGGCGGCCGCGGCAGGGGCGCAGCAGCAGAGTCTGGCCGCAGAGAACGCGCGGCTGCGAGCGGCGCTGGAGCGGGAGGTGACCGCGCTGCGGGAGGCCCAGGCTGAGCTGCGGCGCCTGCAATCCACGGGGGCCCCAGGCAGCCCCAGGGAGCCAAGGGCAGAGCAGGCACGTGCCACAGAGCAGCCACGTGCCACAGGCGTGCCAGGGCACGGCAAGGCCGCGGCACGGCGGCGCGGCAGCCTGGATTCACTGCGGCAGGAGCTGGCGGACACCCTGGACCGTGCACGGGGCTCTGGGGATCTCAAGGGGCTTGTGGAGGAACTGAGTACCCTGGAGCAGCACCTGGCCCAGGTGCTGGAGGCAGACGGGTCGGGGTCCTTCTCCACACCCTGGAAGAAGCCGT